CTCTGAATTTTTTCCCCCTGTGCTATGACTGTATGGTGGAATCCTTAAAAGGAGAATACACAAGGACTTTTCTTCCGGACAGCTGAACAAGGATATTGGATACTGTGTTGACCAGTGGTGAATGCTTTTTTATTTAAGAGAATACTCTACCCTGGAGGATTGTGTCATCTTATGTTGCAGTGACTGGGGAGTGCTGCAGTACTGAAAATGGTGAAACATGTGGCTAGGTCCCCGATTCAGCAAAGCACTTAAGCATATGTTTAAGTCAGTGGGACTTAAGCACTTAAGAGCATTGCTGAATGAGGGCAGCAAGAAGCATGTGCCATGTTTATTGTTCATTTTATGGCCTGCTGGTCAAAACTGAAAATATCAAATTTGAGCTGTGATGCTTAGCTTTGTAAGTCACATGATAGTACTTCTATTTCCTGCATCAGTGAGCATAACTTTTACAATGAGATTTCCTGGAAGAATTTGCTTCCTGTGAGTGGGCCTGTGAATGTCAAATGGGACTATTCATATGAGTAAAGTTGTGCTCATGCTTAAATATTTGCAGGATCAGGGCATTTATTTGCTAATTTTCAAACATCTTAACTTTTACTGGTAGCGCCTGAGCTTAAGACTGGTGGATGGTGCATAGCATAGTATAAAGATTTTTAAAAAACCCAATTTGTAGTGGAATGTACCCACAAACCAAATATATTGCCTTTCTTTACTTTGAATGTGAGCTCCTTAGAGGAGGGACTTTGTTTCTTATTTGTCTCTGTAATATGATCTAATATTAAAACAATAATATATTCAACAGTAAGTGTGCTTTATAGTTCCCATATAAAAACGTATTTCTCATTAGTATTTATTTTTAAAGTGTCCCACCATGCTTTTCACATGTCTTTGATAAGTAGCTGTGTATTCTATTACTGTAATTCCTATGCATCCTTCCCAGTATGAAACCTGCTGCTTAGCAGCATTTTCCTTCCTATTTTAAATGAACTTTGTTGGTTAACTCTTCAGAGAAGAAACTTCACATTATTTATCTATTCATGGAGGCTGTTGCTGCTACTACTACTACTACTGTTATTACTTAATAATAATAATAATTAATCATGCTCCTGTTCCTAAAGTATGGAATTGGCCTGTATAATTTGATATGTTATTTTCTATTAGTAGATATTTTCATCCATCTACAGAATTTAATAGAGAATTTTATCTCTGCTCTAGAATAATTAAATATAAATTGCAACACGTGAAAAAGATATTATTTGTGATGTTAAATTTGATGGTTTCATCCCTAATTACATGCTATGTAACAAACTCTTGCCATAACGGGAATTTTGCCAATTACTTTGTTCACTGTTAGCAAGAGTAAGCCTTTAAAGAAGGGAGTCAGATTACCAAACCATAGCCTGATTATGGAAACTTTTAAGGCTTAGTGTGTAGTCTATAACGGGATTATTTATGGTGGGTAGGAACACACTATCATCTCTAGGACTGATCCGAAAGAAAATACAGTTTGTGTTTCTGTAATATCTTTGATATGTAGAAAAGAACAAAAGGCGTCTAGAAATAAATGGTTGAAGTCCTTTTTGGGATGTACCTATTAGGCTAGGTCTACCCTATAGCTTTTTCCGATTGCTTTTCCGGAAGAGGCTTTTCCGCCATTTGGCCCAGTATAGATAGGGCCAAATGGCAGAAAAGCCTCCTCTTTTGGAGGAGCCCTTATCCCTCATAGAACAAGGAATATAGGGCTCCATGAAACAGCAAAAAAAAGCGGAAGAGCAAATGTGTTTCTTGGACGCGTTGGAGTTTTTCTGGGATACCTCTGGTATCCCGGAAAACCCCTGCAGTGTGCACGTACTCTAACTGTCTATTTCTTATTTGAGCTATCAAGAGTTGCTTGTGCAGATGTGTATTTAAAAGAGAAGAGACCACAAGATTTATCCTCATTTGTTGCTGTGAAAGAGCACTTTGATGTTTAGGGGTGGCCAATGCATGCACATAAAGTTAAGCACATACTTAGATTTTTTTTAAAAAATCAGGACCTAAGAAGAGGTAGATTATTCAAATTCTATTTCATTTTAGTTGAAGGAGGTTAGCTCTGGAGATCTAAAACTACAGGGGACTAAGGCCATATCACTAGTATAAAATAAGATCTTTTTATTTATACTGTTTGCTGTTATGTATGTTTGAACAGATGTGTGTTAGTTCTGGTTTCTTTCCTCACAGTGGAAGGGATAAATACTTTTTATTCTCTTCTTTCACCACTGACATTCTGGATCTATTAGCTCCATCTCTGTATTAGTGTTTTTGCTTTATCTAGTCTCAAGCACCCAACTGAACACTAATGAAATGTACAGAAGCCAGAGAAAATAGAGTATGCATCCAATTACAAGTTGTCACACTTTCAACTGTTCCACCGGCTGACGTCCTTTTACAATTCTACTTTCTTGCAGAAATACAAAGAATATGAAAAAGATGTTTCAGTAGAAGAAATTGATGGCCTTCAGCTTGTGAAAAAGCTAGCAAAAAGTATGGAAGAAATGTTTCATAAAAAGTCTGAAGCTGTACGGGTAAGTAGCAGATAATTTTGCTTTAATATTTTGTGCAGTTCCTTGCATACCTTACTGAGTGATTGCAGTCATTACTTCCAGGCTGTCTGGAATGTTTACAGAAATTTTCACCAGGTGATATATAAGCTTTTCCCAAGCACTATTATTTTCCCTGAATAGCACTTCCCTACCCACAATCTAGACTAAAAGCATCTTGGCTAGTGGGCATCACACAGCTGTAACTACATTTGAAATACAGACACATAGTCAATATTAATAACTTCAGATACAAAAATGCATCCATGCAAATAGGATAATGTTATTCAGCAAATCATAACTTTTTCAATGACATCTTACATGAGCCATCTTGCACAAAATGCAACATAATTCTGTTATCACATCATAATATCATTGTGAAGAATATGGGGTGCAGTGTCAAAACATGCATGTCTTGTTTTCCTTAATCTTTAAGAAAAAAAGTTTGCAAAACCAAAGTTGGAAGCGGTATTATTATTAAAAATCCACTTACTTCTGTTTTCAAGATAATAGCTTTACTGGAATCAGTTATATAGCATGTAGCCATCTTGGATATTTTGAGGTGCCTTGTAGAGGAATGAATAAGATGCTTATTCCTGACTGGAAGATTTACCTGGTGTTGCTTGGGTCCTTAACTCAATCAATTTTGGGGTTTTTTTGTTGGAAATAAAATGAAAGTGTACAGACTTCATTTGAATCATTGCTCTGGGCAGAGGCTGGGGATGAGGGGTTAAGTCTACAGGCTGTCACAGAGAGAGAGGACTACCCCAGCCCTTTCTTACTGTAGCTTGATTCAGGTGAGAAGTGCCTCTCCATGGCTGCTGCAGCTGGCACAGATGGGGGAGAGGTGCATGTTCCCCAGCTAGGACAGGTCCAAGTTCATCTGCCCCCTGTGCTATCCAGCCAGAGTGATAAATGCAGCAAATGTGCACTTTCCCCTCACTCCCTTATGAAAAGGAACAGCCAGCAATGTTTCTATACAAATGTTGGGGCAGTCCAGGATGGGTGGGGGGAAGTGGGGAGCTCTCCCAACCAACCTCTTTTGCCTGCTTGTTATTTTTGTCTCTGTATTGTTTTGAGAATCAGTCCCATTCCAGATACATCCCATTTTCCTGGCAGAACAAACCTTTACCTTGCTTGAAGTTATGAAAAGAGGAATCTGTGTACCAAATTTGGTGGTCCGAGCCTTTACTGTTTAGGAGGAGTTTTTGAACAAATGGACAGACAGACAAACTCTTTGAAATACATAGTAGACAAGGCTTAGTGACTGAGTGCTATGTTATTGAGGTCATAATAATACAGTGGTTTCCAACCTTTTTAATCACAAGATCACTTTTTCAATTTAAGTGCAATGTAAAATCTACTTCAAACCCAAAAACCCTTGCCCCACTTCCTTCCTGCTTCTTCTTTGAGGCCTTGCCCCTGCTCCACTCCTTCTGAGGCCTCAGTCTGCTCACTCCATCCCCCTTTTTCTTCCATCCTCACTCACTTTCACCAGACTGGGGGAGGAGGTTGGAGTTCAGGCTCTGGTCTTGGGTCAAGGAGTTTAAAGTGTGGGAGAGGCTCTGGGCTTAGCCCAGGGCATGGTATTGGGATCTGGGAGGGACTTCAGAGTGCAAGCTCTAGGAAGGAGTTTGGGTGCAGGGGGACTCACATCTGGGGTAGGAGGCTGGGTGTAAGAGGAGGTTAAGGGCTGGGACAAGGGTTCAAGAAGCAGGCTCTGGCTGGGCAATGTTTAACTGAGATGGCTTCCGGGTGGTGGAGCAGTGGGGTTAAGGAAGGCTTACACCTGTCCTGTCCCTGCACTGCTCCTGAAAGCAGCTGTCATGTACAACAATGGCTCCGTGTACTGCCCCTCATCCACAGGCACAAAGTCCACAGTTTCTACTGGCCATGGTTCCCCATTACTGATCAATGGGAGCTGTGGGAGTGATATCTGCAGGCAAGGACAGCATGTGGAGACCCCCCCCCCCCCCGCCCTCTGCCTCTTTCAGGGGCTGCTGGGACATGCCAGCCACATCCAGGAACAGCAGTTGTCCTAGGGATAATTACTCTAGCCACAACAGGTTAGGCATTTTAGAACTCACTACTCAATGAATTAAATGTAAGCCTAAAAGCCAAATGAAAATTATGAAATGCACAGACCTGTCAAAAACCTAAAATAACACACGTTGCAAGCAGTAAAAGAAGTCACAACAACCCTGCCCCCACATGTATGTGTTGGGTCAGGAGATGCGAGTGAAGAACAGTGTATGTTTGTGAGAAGGACAGACACACACACAGTGTGCGAGAGTGACAGAGATTTGCATTGCCATGCTCCCTCCATCCCCTTCTCTCTGTGTGGAGATAGGGTACAGAAATGGAGGGAGGAGCTACACGCTGAAATCAGCATCCCCCTTCTTCTCCCTTTCACACCCTGCACAGCAAGCAGGAGGTTCTCGTGGGGGCAACTCCAAGGCAGAGGGCAGGAGCAGCATGACAGTGGGTGGAGGAGCAACTGAAGTGCCAGTGCTTGATATCTTCCTGCCCAAACCAGTCAGTATCACCTGTCAGAGGCTCCAAGATCTACTGGTAGATCCCAATCTACTGGTTGGTGACCAAATACATTTATAATGTGAAGGATTGCAATTTGTCAGTTATGCTTCTTGAAAGGCTCTGAAATTCTTGGATACAATGTTAGTTGTATATGACAACTTTTATCATGTGCAGCAAATTTACAGTTAGCTCATCTTCTCTATGCTTCCACTTTAGACAAGGATCATGCTGCATTAAACTGGCCCTGGAATAATGTTTTTAATGTAAATATTTCAGGTTTCTATTTTATTTAGATTATAAAGGAACGGGTAAAAGAAAAACCTATCATATCATAGAATCATAGAATCATAGATTAATAGGACTGGAAGGGACCTCGAGAGGTCATCGAGTCCAGCCCCCCGCCCTCAAGGCAGGACCAAGCTCCGTCTACACCATCCCTGACAGATGTCTATCTAACCTGTTCTTAAATATCTCCAGAGAGGGAGATTCCACCACCTCCCTTGGCAATTTATTCCAATATTTGACCACCCTGACAGTTAGGAATTTTTTCCTAATGTCCAATCTAAACCTCCCCTGCTGCACTTTAAGCCCATTACTCCTTGTCCTGTCCTCAGAAACCAAGAGAAACAAATTTTCTCCTTCCTCCTTGTGACACCCTTTTAGATATTTGAAAACCACTATCATGTCCCCCCTTAATCTTCGTTTTTCCAAACTAAACAAGCCCAGTTCATGAAGCCTGGCTTCATAGGCTTCTCTAGACCTTTAATCATTCTTGTCGCTCTTCTCTGTACCCTTTCCAATTTCTCCACATCTTTCTTGAAATGTGGCGCCCAGAACTGGACACAGTACTCCAGCTGAGGCCTAACTAGTGCAGAGTAGAGCGGCAGAATAACTTCACGAGTTTTGCTTACAACACACCTGTTGATACAACCTAGAATCATATTTGCTTTTTTTGCAACAGCATCACACTGTTGACTCATATTCAACTTGTGGTCCACTATGACCCCTAGATCCCTTTCCGCCATGCTCCTTCCTAGACAGTCGCTTCCCATCTTGTATGTATGGAACTGATTGTTCCTTCCTAAGTGGAGCACTCTGCATTTCTCCTTATTAAACCTCATCCTGTTTACCTCCGACCATTTCTCTAACTTGCTAAGGTCATTTTGAATTATGTCCCTATCCTCCAAAGAAGTTGCAACCCCACCCAGTTTGGTATCATCTGCAAACTTAATAAGAGTACTCTCTATCCCAATATCTACATCATTGATGAAGATATTGAACAGTACGGGTCCCAAAACAGACCCTTGAGGAACTCCACTTGTTATCCCTTTCCAGCAGGATTTAGAACCGTTAACAACAACTCTCTGACTACGGTTATCCAGCCAATTATGCACCCACCTTATCGTGGCCCTATCTAAGTTATATTTGCCTAGTTTATCAATAAGAATATCATGCGAGACCGTATCAAATGCCTTACTAAAGTCTAGGTATATGACATCCACCGCTTCTCCCTTATCCACAAGGCTCGTTATCTTATCAAAGAAAGCTATCAGATTAGTTTGGCATGACTTGTTCTTCACAAACCCATGCTGGCTATTCCCTATCACTTTATTACCTTCCAAGTGTTTGCATATGATTTCCTTAATTACCTGCTCCATTATCTTCCCTGGGACAGACGTTAAACTGACCGGTCTATAATTTCCTGGGTTGTTCTTATTCCCCTTTTTATAGATGGGCACAATATTTGCCCTTTTCCAGTCTTCTGGAATCTCCCCTGTCTGCCATGATTTTTCAAAGATCATAGCTAAAGGCTCAGATACCTCCTCTATCAGCTCCTTGAGTATCCTGGGATGCATTTCATCAGGACCTGGTGACTTGCTGACATCTAACTTTCCTAAGTGATTTTTAACTTGTTCTTTGTGTATCCTATCTTCTAAACTTACCCTCTCTCTGCTTGTATTCACTACGTTAGGCACACCTCCAGACTTCTCGGTGAAGACCGAAACAAAGAAGTCATTGAGCATCTCCGCCATTTCCAAGTTCCCTGTTACTGCTTCTCCCTCCTCACTAAGCAGTGGGCCTACCCTGTCCTTGGTCTTCCTCTTGCTTTTAATGTATTTATAAAAGGTCTTCTTGTTTCCCTTTATGCCTGTAGCTAGTTTGATCTCATTTTGTGCCTTTGCCTTTCTAATCTTGCCCCTGCATTCCCGTGTTGCTTGCCTATATTCATCCTTTGTTAGTTGTCCTAGTTTCCATTTTTTATATGACTCCTTTTTTATTTTGAGATCATGCAAGATCTCCTTGTTAAGCCAAGCTGGTCTTTTGCCATATTTTCTATCTTTCCTACACAGCGGAATTGTTTGCTTTTGGGCCCTTAACAACGTCCCTTTGAAATACTTCCAACTCTCCTCAGTTGTTTTTCCCTTCAGTCTTGCTTCCCATGGGACCTT